GGGGCTCACGGCGAATGCGGCGGCTCCCGGGGCTTGCAGGCTCGTCCCCGCCCCGCCACCAGCTGGTCGTGTGACCTTGGGTTCGCCACCGCCCCTGTGAGCCTCAGTTTCCTCGTCCGTGCGGTGACTCCGGGCGGGGCAGTGCGTACAGGGCCTGCGCCAAAGGACGGAGGGAGACACCGTGCGGTGCTTGGCCCCTTAAGGCCGCGCGGCCGGTACCTGACCCTTCGCCTCGTGAGTCCCCGCGGGCGGAGACGAGGCTGCGGGCCTGCGTGGGCTTCCCTCGCGGGCCGGGCACCGGGCAGCGCCGGTGTGGCCCGCGGGCCTGAGGCCGGCCGACCACGGCCCTTGGCCCAGCCGTGGTGGGCGCCGCCTGCCGCGGTGGCCCTGGCCCTCGCTAGGTGGCACTGTCGCCGAGGATCAAGCAGCGCGGGGGCGGGGTGGTGGCCCGGGCTGGCTTCCGCCGAGGGCCAACCCCGCGCCTGGGCCCCTGGCCACCTTCCTCCAACCCCCCACCCCCCACCCCGGACTAGAAAGAGAGTCCTTGGGAGCGGGCTGTGCGCCCCGGTGCCAGGTGCTGGGTGCCTCGTTTCCCAAATCTGTGGCGGTTGACTCTGGGTGTTTAACGGTGATCGAGACGAGTTCTGCCCTTCCTGGGGCCGGTGACTTCCTTTGGGGAGCCTGAAGGGTTAGCTGCACGTTCCCTTTTTGTCTGTGTGTTCAAGCTGGTAGCATAAAAGGTTGGGGTAAGAACTCCCACTTCCTGAGGGTGTCTTGGAGGTATTTCTAGTACCCCCAGCAGCTTTGCGAGTGGGGGAGAGGCGTGGCTGCCCGAGGACACACAGTAAGCAGAGTGCTTGGCCTGTCCCACTCTGCCTTTCTCTGACGCCTTCTCAGGAGATTGTCACACCACTTGACTCCGATCCTTCCCCCAAAATACCCACAGATGCGGCCATTTGGAAAATCCTGAGTTCCATATTTCACTTTCATTAAAAAAAAACTTTAAAACTGTTTATTCTGACAGCAGAGGAGGGGCAAAGACGGAGAGAGAGAGAATCCCAAGCGGGCTCCGTGCCGTCAGCGCTGGACGCAGGGCTCGATCTCGTGAACTTGAGGTCATGACCCGGGCTGAGATCAAGAGTCAGAAGCTTAACCGGCGGAGCCACCCAGGTGCCCCTTGAGTTCCATATTTTTAAAAGGGTTTTAATTAGAAGGAAATAAG